TAAATGTTGCTCAAACGAAATAAAATTTGAATGTTTGAATTAAGCATTGTTCTATTACTAGGGGTGCTAAAATGTAATGTGATAAAATACTTCGTTGAAAAGATATCAATTTCTAAATACATGTAAACTTGATTAACAAAGCAAAAAACCTCGTCGAAGGACGTCACGGAGCAGTGCATAGCAACAAACATGTATTTTTGTTTTGCATTCGGGAAACCTCTAAATAATTTCTGAAATTGCTGGATAAATCAGGAATTGTATGAAAATAAGCCGTGCATTTGTGTATAATAAAAAGACAGTAGTTTGGTAGAGACTTTGAATCGAGCGATGGACAGTCTTCAAAGAAACAACTAATAGTGAAAAATCTCGTCAAAAGAGTTAGTAACCCCAAAGAACGTGATGTGCGCTTCATTGTTGCGGAACTTGTGAAATCAGAGTTGTGCAGTAAAAAATTGAAATCATTGACAATCTAACTTATTCTTCTCTAATAATTCTTTAAAAAAAAATGTCAAGTTATATGGATACATTTTTATGAATGAAAAGTAATTTTGAGAAACTTTCTCGACGTTGTTTTTGACGTCACATTGCCAGAACATTTGATGAGAAAAAGTAAAAAAATTTTATTTCACATGTGTATTAACTGTGACAAGGCCTTTCTAAATACACTATAATATTAACACCGTGACCTTGAAGATCTTAAAGTTTGATCTACTTTTCAAAAACTTTAACCTTGGTCATAACTTTTGGATGAGAAGAGATAAGACTTGCACATTTCAGAAGTATATTTTCTGTGATAAGACTTTCTGAAAACACTATAATTTTTTTATCTCTGTCCTTCAAAAATGTTAGATAGAGAAGAGATGGGGCTTTCGTGTTCAACATGTGCATGCCTGTAACAAAATATTTCCGAGAGTGTCATACTATTTTTTTTGCCCCTGGACCTTCATGTTTGACCAAATTAAAAAAAAAACCCAAACAACTTCAATGATAATTTTTGGATGATTATGATAGAGCGTTCATAATTGACACAATACTAGTGTCACATATACTAGTAATGATATTTTACCAAGACACCGAAAGCAGCGGACGCAATTATTTGAATTTGCTTGAGAAAACTTTAAACTTGGCAATAGCTTCTGAACCTTAATAAGTGTTATAGGGCTTTTATATTTTACATGGGTATTTCTTGTGACAAGACCTTGCCCTGCGTTTTATTAATTTTGACCCTTTGGTCTTGACCTTGGAGATTGATCCACTTAAAAAAATTAATCTTTGCCATACTTTTGAACAATTGGTGCTTGGGCTTTCCTATTTCACAAGTATATTTATTGAAACAAGTCTTTCCTTTGGACGACAGCATTTTTGAAACAAAGACCTTGACCTTGGAGTCTGATTTGCATTTGAGAAACCTCAATTTTCGCCACAAGCTGCCATATGGGGGCATAAGTCTTTCAGTAATACATCTTGTTTATTGAATAAATAATACTTTTTTAATGAATAAATAATATCTATGAATATCACATTAGAAATGATTATGTTTTATATTGTTGTTAAATTCAGAACCGGTTTCTTGCCCAAAATTCCACAATGTAGCTCAATATTCAACGGCAAGGGTCTCAATTTAACTCGTTTGAAAAATGACGCCATGTCAATTTTCAACCCGGACTAAATTCTACGTTACAAGGGTAATGTCACAACGTCTGTAGTTTAACTATAAATCATTTCGACCCATTTTGGCGAGAGAACATTGATTGACTTCTATCCAAAGTAGGACAATGCATGTGTAAATCGTATATTTAAATAAAACTTAGATAAGATATCAGGGTTTAGTTTACCTTGGCATGGTTTTTTAAAAGAACGCGGAAACTATTTTTCATATGATCTTAAAACGATGCCATCTCCCATAGCAAATAAATTGTTGCCATTCAACAAATCGTGACCCGCACACACGCTTAGCATATTATTACTTGAGCAAATCTCTGTTAGAATTGCGTATCTATTGGGTAGCTGAATTTCAGTTCCGTTTACAGTCACTGAATATTGACAATATTTGTCAGGAAGAGGAAAAAACGTAAGCAAAATTTGGTTGAATTCAAACATGAAGGTCAAGGTCAAGGGGTAAAAACATAACTTCCTCGGAAACATCTTGCCACAGGGAATGCACAAGTCAAATATGAAAGCTATATCTCTTCTCAATCAAAAGTTATAAGGAAAAATAACTTTTGAAATACAGGCCAACCTTAATAGTCAATGTGACATGGTCAAAAGTCATAGTATTTTTAAAAATGTCTTCTCACAGGTAATATGCGTGTATAATATGAAAACCCTATCTTTTCTCTTTCAAAAGTTATGACCAATTTTAAGTCATGTTAATTTTTTCTCAAAAAAAAAAGGTCAAGCTTGAAGGTCAAGGTCGAGGGGTAAAATATCATAGCATATTTTGAAAGGTATTGTCCAAGTAATATTTGTGTGAAATATGAAATTTCTATCTCTTCTCATTCAGAAGTTATGACCAAAGTTAACGTTTTTGTGACAGACTGACAGACCTATAGACTGACATACGAATGAGATTTAATGTCCCTCGCTTTCGCGAAAGCGAGGAACAATTAAAAAAACTGTTGCAAATACCTTCCCTCCCCTTCCCTAACCATCTTTGTATAATCTTCCTAAGTCCTTGATTGCATAAAAAATAAATTCATCGACCAAATTTAAAAAAAAATGTGGTTCCCCGCTTTCGGTGTCTTTGTCGGTCAGATGTCATTATTTATGGCATATTGTGTTAAATTTGAACGCCCAATCATATGTCAGTCAAAAGTTATTTCCAAAGTTGCCCTAGCACAAACTATACAAAAGTTATGGGCAAGGATAAAGTTTGGCAAATATTTGCAACAATGGGTCAAACTCCAAGGGCAAAATATCAGTTATGTTGGCCCTGTCACTAGGAATACACATTTGAAATACGAAAGTCATATACAGCTCTAATTACTGTAGAAGGGCAAAATATCTGTTTAATGAAAATTCCGCGAATTTCTTAAACTGTCACTATATGCCTTGCATTTATATTAAGTACGCTTGGACAAATTCCGCGGAATATTTGTGACCGCGTACATAGCGTAAAATAATACCACGCGGAAAAAAGTACTTCTGCAGTATTTTAAAGCTATGGTTTGTACAGAAGGACGATCGAGGTGCCATTATCAAGGCAAAAGACTATATAAATCCGAGATCGTTTGACCTTTTAACCTGGACCTTGGGGTTTGACCTACTTTTGAAAAACTTCAACCTTGACTATTAATTTTGAATGTTGGTGCGAGAGATTTTATATTCCACACGTCTATTTCTATTTCTTATGACAGGTCTTCACCTTGGTACCATGAGTTTCGACTTTTTGACATTTTCTTTAAAAATCTTTAATTTTGGCCAAATCTTTTAAACAGTTGAACTAGGGTGGATATATTTCACAAGAGTATTTCCTATGATAAGCTCCTTCCTTGGGTAGCATGACTTTTGACCCACTTTTTAATCTTGGCTGTAACCTTGGACAGTTGAGGCCTGGGCTTTCATATTTTACAAGTATATTCATTGAGACAGGTCCTTTCTTTAGTAATATTCAACATTGACAAAACCCTTGTTGAAGTTAAAGCTTTCTATGAAGGAGGGGTTAAAATTTCAATTATATATAGACCTATATGTACACTTCTGTAAGAAAGCCCAACGTGTTGCATGTTGAAATGTAAATATTCAACTGATTTTTATGTTTGATATTTACATCCCATTATTCCCAAATACACTTATTACCTTTATTCACCAGATTTTTGTAACAGAAAGGTACCAATAAAAACAGCTTAGGATAGGACACTTTTGTTAATCAGATATATTCTAGTGACGAATGTCTGATTTCACCATCTCCTTACAGGGGTCAGTTAAATACTTCAGACTATGTGGGCATAAAAATGTACGGATGATTTTTTTAATTTCACCTAAAGAGAGATTTTGTTAGATCAATATATCTAAATACCTGTTGTGTACTGTCTTAATTTGCGAAGATACATAGCGGGTTCCAGTAAATGAATGTTCAACCAATCCTCTTTTTTTACTCCTCACTAAGATATTGACAGTAATATAGGAGAAACTTTAAGAGTACTAGTACTCTGCAACAATATATTCAAGAAGATCAAATGTGTATACTTAGAAATTCCAAGAAACTTTTGGACAATTTGAAATCAGAAGATTTTACCAATTCAACAGCTTAAGAACTTACGACTTTTAAACTTTATACACAGCCATTCCCCACAATAAATTTAAGTCCAGGCTTTTTGATATCATTGACAAGTTGCCTTTTCAATAAAAATGGAACTCGTAAATTTATTTACCTTGTCATTGGTCATTTGCAAAATTATTTCGTTAAAACACATTCTGATTGTACACACAAGTACTCTGAAGTTGACATCAAAAAGATACTTGAGTTTCTGATTGACAATATTAATGTGGGTTTTGGAAACCAGGACTTTCAACAATCCACGCGCCCCGTTAATAGCAGACCTATTTTTGTATTCATATGAAGCAAAATTTGTGCAAAATATAATGCGTGAAAAGAAGAAAACACTGTGGCATTCAACTCAACATTTAGATATATCGACGACGTATTGTCAATTAATATCAATGATAATTTCCATTCTTATGTCGATACGATATATCCTGGTGAGCTTGAGACAAAAGATACCACAGAGTCTGACACATCGTAGATACCCATGGTTCTGGAAGATGATATACGAAATTTGCAAGTTGTTATATAAGAGAAAGTCCTTCTTCAAAAACAAATCTTCATATTTTACATGTTATGATATTAAGACCCACACATTTCTTACTGACTAAAAGAAAAAACGAATAAATAAAGATTGATACCAATAAAGTATTTTAATAAATTGAAATAAAATATATTACAAAATAAACATCTGAATAAAATGCAAAAAAAAAAAAATTGACAAAATACTCAAAAATACAAAATGAAAGACATTTTTGTAGAGAGATACACGTTAGTGTCCCATGAAGACAATATAAATAAATGCAATAAATCAGCTTGAAACAACCATGGCAAATGTAATGATTTTTAATGATTGACATTTGGCTTCTTTTAAAAATATAAAACATTAAATTCAATGTTAAGAAGTCATTAGAAACCTTTTGTGTCACTGAACACGTTATATCCTGTTAATAACAAAATGTATAAAAATAACATCATAAGAATTTCTAATTTCTCTTGAAAAAGTTCATGATAAAAAAGCAAGACATGACTGGTAATATATGACAATGTGCTATCCTGACTTATCAAAACAAATAAAAGGAAGAAAAGGTTAGGAAATATTAAATGGACGTATCGCAGTAAGAATCCGATCACTTCCTTCTTGGCGAATTTCAATTTGAAATTGATAAAGCGGTAATGGCTACGCTTCCTTTAAACATGCAATGTACAGAGTTCTACGCCAATGTAGGTGAAATGTCGTGTACAAATACTCAGTACTTCCTTCTTAAGGAATTTGGCAGTGGAGATCGATAGTTGATTAATGGCACATAATTAAATCACTGGTTGATGCAGTTGACTAGAATAATAAGGAGACATTTACCTGAAGTTTTGCCCTCAACAATAAAATAATCACATATTTAAGAAATTAAATACTAGTACCACACTCTCTCAAATTTACACAATGCGTCACTCATATAACCTGATACACAAACACAAAGTAAAAAAAAATAAGCATTCTCAAAGGTAAATAAAAAATGTACACATAAAAATTCCTGCATGTATATATTTCTCTTGTGTTTCTCCCTCCGATTATTGAGGAAGTTGAGGGGCTTTTCTCCGTCCTTTACAGACACAACCGTTGGAGACTTTCTCCCAATGATAATTATAGATGTAGAACCCCCTGTCATCACAACCCGTGACCCTCAGTACCCGGGTATAGTAGTACATGGGGGCACAGTGTGTGGAACCATCGTCACGTCCGATACAAGATTTACATTTACACTTAACCTGCAGCATCATCCTGGGGATCCTAAATCTGTCGAAATCCATAACCATATATCCGGGACACAGATCCATACCTGGAAGTAGCTCTTTAGGACAATCTGTGTTGTCTTTATCCAGCTTGACGTAAAGTCTGTTAATATATTCCATTGAAATGCTGCTCACGGCACTGGTACTATTCCGTAATTGCTCCATTAGAAAGAAGCTTTCTGGCAAATCTTTGATTTTTAACTGACTCAGTCCCCTCCTTAATTTCCTCATTTCTCTGGAGGGTGGGTTTTGGCAAATTTTGCTGCTACATTCCATCAAACAAACAAGTGTAAATAAAAGAAATACCTCTAGAAAATCCTGAAAATAAGAAAAAATGCCCACATGAATATCGTGTAATCATGAATATCATGGAACTTTATTACATATTTAACAAAAACAATGGACTTAAATCCAAAAGCTCAGAGAAAAATTTTAACTTTAAACAGTGCAAATGATTTTAAGGTACATTTTGATAAGGAAGTTTCTAATTATTTTTCCCTTTGTTAATATAAGATATATATATACCATTTTCATCGGCATGTTGTAGAATTTTTGTGTTCGAAGTGCCTCCAAAGAAATAGAATTAGATGTTGTGCCTTTGCAAAAGTTCTGACATTGTCTTACCTTTCTGCTGTATTTATAGTAGAATAGGACTGAAGACTGTTTAGGTATCACATTATTGGCAGCTTGAAAAAACGGAAGTTACAAGTCGCTAACGAATAGCGGATGGACAACCCGACAAGGAAATACCCCTATTGGACTATTTTTAGTTTTAATTGTGCAACAAAACATAGAATGCCCTGTTTACGTCAAAATGGGAAATTAGAGCATGTTTGATAATTCAAATACAGCGTGTGGCAATTTAAATGCAAGGGTGTAATGAATTTGCATAGAAATGGATCACAATTCAATCGTGTATTTTATTGCTGTTCATAACATATAAGGAATTAAAAAAAATATTGTCTCTGATATAAAGATGCAATAATAATGATATATTTTAGAAAAAGACACGACGAAATGTCAAATACTTCTATACCTACTGTCATTATGCATTATTACTTATGCCACGCTTTCTTCAGAAACATGCCCTTTAATGTTTAATTTTTAAAGCATTGCTGACCTTTTTTTGCCTTATATGTATGCGAAAACTTCACTTTTTTTATAAAGGTAACAAGCATATATACCCTATCCAAAATAAGGACTCTCTTTTCTTTGCTTGTCAAAATTCCACCTATGTGACCCGCTTTTCTTAACGTCAAGATTACATGACGATATATTGTAAAGTTCTTATATCTAATGTACTTCAACTATTTTCTCTATTCTTTACCAAAAGAATACATATATATAGCTACATGTTATATTCAGCGACGTCTACTACATCATTTATGATATAGACCTAAAAGACAATATACTAATCATTCCGCATACATTAATATATATCTTAAAGCACCCGAATGAGAGAAATGCGTGATAGTGAAAATATTTTTTTAATTCATTATACATAAACGAACATTTGGTATCTAATTCTGCTTCTTAATTTGTGTAGTTTATATTAGTTCATATTTTAAAAAAAAATTAAATCAATGAATAAGAATAGTAAATTGAGCTAATGAACCATAGCCATTTTATTTCCCATTTCTTATCATTTTTAGTCCTTTTTTGTGCCTCCCACCCCTGGAAGACCATTAAACGAACTAGCAGATCATTTTACATGTGTACTGTGTAAGCATAAATGAATAAAAGATTGATTCGTCAAAGCAATTAAACATTTGTTCCAAAACATCTATATGACCTTCAACTCGACATTTAGGTATACTGACAGTGTATCATCAATTTACAATAGTTACAACCATTCAATCCCAGTGAACTTGAAATTAAAGACTCCACATATTGGATGTTTTATTAACTATAGACTAACAATTAAACTGTATTGCACGTACGATCATTTCAATTTTCTCATCGTCAGCTTTTCGTATCATATAGTAACAATATGCTATAACGTGTATATACGGTGTTTATGTCTCCAGACTTATTCAGAACTGAAGAGCATGCTCTGAGTAAGATTAATAATTAAACCGATACAGGCTACTCACTTGTTAGTTGATGTTACAGGGATTTCAACAACCTCGTTTAAATTCATCATTTCGGTTATTCTATGGTCGTTCTAATGACCTTATCATTAATAGAACCTATCATTTTGTTGTATTTTGGCTGATTTGTTTCACACCATTGGCTATCCAGGTATTATTGTTTTATACTGAATTTGGCCACGGAATATTGTTCCGTCTATCTGATTAATACAGCGGACTCACTGCGGGTGTGACCCTTTAACAGGGTTATACTTATTCCTCCTGTGCATCTAATCACACATCTGGAATATTCAGGGATCCGTATTTTATGCCCTCTTCACAGATTTTTAGTGTTCAAAGACATTGTTTTGAGATCGATCACTGTCCATTATCTTCACCCCTTTCATTGGTATCAGGATGAATTCATTTATGGGACTCTGATACTGTTGATAATTGTACATATAAGATAAATGAGCAAAGGATGACTGTTGTTTATAGAAAAAATATTCTTAAATTGTATCTTCCTGTTTAGAAGGACAACTGTACAAGTACCTTGTGAATAATTTTGTATTACAAAGATATTAACAAAGCCTATTGATACAGAGAAAGGTCACCAAGATAAGATTTCAAACCCCCAATTAAAAAAAAACTGGTAAATATAATACATTAAGATCTGAAAGAGTTTGCAATTGCACACTTTTCTTCTAATGATATCGAGAATGAATTTCATTTTATATTAAAATGCCCATTTTATGAAAGTTGGAGAAGAATGTATATGAAGGAATATTATTATGTTAATCCAAGTGAATTTTAACATAAGTTTAACTTAAATTAAGTTTAATGTGTAGTCAAAAGGTGAAAGGAAAATTTTCATACAAAGCCACAGCTCTACGAAAATCTAGTATGTAATTATTATTTGATATCTATATCCTTGTTTTTATTTGGCTTAAAGAATACAGAAACTGAAACTGAATTTGCTATGAATGTAAAATGGATTCTGTTTTTGTCGAAAATATAAATCAAGAGCCAAATTGACCTACAAACTGTTTTATCAATATCCATATTACTATTGTTCAGTGCCTTCTAACACATCAATATACTTTTCAAAATTGCTCTTGTGAATAAAGTTCTAAGATTCAAAGTCTTAAAGTTTTGAACTGCAAAGTATCCCTAAAACAAAATAAACTAAAGAAAACTGAAGAAAAAATAACAAATGGAAAAGAGAAAATAAATTGTAAGATTGTAAGGCAAAATTAATTCTAATTACATTTATTTAGTAAGGAAAAAAACAATGGAAGCTTTTGTGATTTGTAACAGAATGCAGGGACAGTTATTCTGAGAAAGTAAATCAGAATGGGATAACCCTGAATTATTTTTATATATGCGGAAACAATGCGTGGCCAAAGCCAAGTTGTTCAATATCTTCATATGTTTAGAAATGTCACGGAAATTACCGATAGTATTTTGTAAGATGTGCAAAAAGAATATTTGCTTGTATTTTAGTTTGATAAACTTGTCATATCTTAACATCTATCCATTTTGCAATTTTCATAATTATATATAAAAAATAAATATGACAATATACGTAATAAATAAATAATTGCTACGATTGCAGGAGATTTATTATATAAGATATCTGAGGTACGATATGAACCATTATTGCAATATATACAGGACTTATGGGGGGAAAACTGAACAAGAAAAAGAATTATAGAGGCGGCTATTAACTGGGGGAATAAAATAAATTCTGTATATAGGGAAACTGTAAACAAATCATTTAAATTTTTTTTTTACCCAATCGGTGTTTGTTTAACTTGTAAGCAAATGACACTTCTATAGAATTCCTTTGGCGCTTTAGAAATAAATTTAAATTCCCCAAATGAAACAAAATTTAAGATGTAACAATGTGTATTTTGATGAGGACGATTATGTTACATTAATTTGTACATGCCTGTTTATATAACGCGTGCAATTATTTCCTTTCTCTTTCATTAAAAACATCTTATTTCAGCAAAGTCATGGTAAGGAGAAACTTATGAACTAAGAATGTTGGAGAAAGTTGATGAACTACATCAATATTTTGTGCAGGAAAACAAAAGTCTGAATAATAAAATCATTGAAAAAGATTTTTTTTTTGTATCTTAATCTGTTTTTTTCAACGTACGGGTCGTTAATTCAAACTAATTTTCTATAAAGCTAAATTAGATATGTACATGCTCTTTGTTTGAATGCTAACAGAACTGATATAAAATTGAAAGCTCGAATTTCAACAAAATAAACTATTCGCTTTTGAAAGATACAATTATTCCGGTATCTTAATTTTTCATAAGTATTTGTACTGCTCGCATTAAAAATACCCAATTAACCAATAAAATAATCAAAGGAACTAATTAAACCCAAGTATATATATATTTTTTATCCATTTGTTATCAGATGAAAATCACAGAAAGATTGGGGTACATAGATTACAGATATTGAGATAACTATAATAAAGAAGTTGACTCGACTCATATTTCGGGTATTCAGTTTTTTAAGGATATCAAGTCGTACGACTAGAGGAATTTACATTACAATAAATATAACGTATATATACAGGTGAGAAATTCTACCTTTACTTCCGTGTGAATACATGTACCTATGCTTGGTAAATGAATAGAACAATAAACAAACAGATATTTACAGGTACTATATATATCTAATAGAAGTCAGTAAATGATTCAATAACGGACTTCATTGAAAGAAATAAACAATAAATTATTCTTCTAAACAGGTGTATAAATAGCACTACCGGGTGTCGGAGACATATACACGTATCACTGCTAATACTAAATGAAGACGTACGAGGGGCGTTCAATAAATAATGTCATTGGGGCTCAGAAAGAAGCAAACGACGCTTTTCAATGATTTAGTCTTAATGATTTTACTAATTAATCTATTTTAATTCAAACACATGTCTGTAACATTTTTTATCCAATTCCTATTTGTTGTTAAGTATTCCCTCCGTATACTGGAATATGGCGGATCCAATGATTTCCTGGACTTGTTTTTTCCTTCTGAAAGGTGTTTTATTCAAGTTTGGAAATAGAAACAAGTCAAAAGGTCAAAGATCTGGCAAATATCGTTAATGTGAATAAACATTAACTTTCTGTTTATCCCGTAAACCCCTTTACTCTTTAGGGCATGCGGGTTTAAACGCTGTCATGAAGAAATTCAATGTAATGGATTCCTGATTCTGGGTCCTTTCTCTGATAAACCTTTCGATTTCTTTTCAAAAAAATGCTTTCTAGACACCTCCAGATATTAAACTGTCTATTTTGAACAAAATACCACTAATATTTAAGAAAATTGCATATAAATCTGTTTTTGTGCTCTTGCATATTTACCGTCGCCGTTTTTATCAAGTACATCTTATGGTAAATTTTGTTTTAATGGTTTTAAGCAATAGATTCATGTTCCAATATCTGTTTGAATATAAAACAAACGTGGATTACTACAATTACTGATAATTTAAAATAATTGT